ATTAGGGGCGGTGCTTAGTCAAATTAATGAGCAAAACGTTGAACAACCAGTGGCATATATTAGCAGAAAGTTGCTACCTAGGGAGGAGAAATACTCCATAATGGAAAAAGAATGTTTAAGTATTGTATGGGCAATACAAAAATTCCACATGTGTTTATATGGTTTCCCATTTTTAATTCAAACTGACCATCAGCCTTTGCGATGGATTGAAAAAATGAAATTGACTAACAACCGCATCGCAAGATGGAGTTTAATACTCCAACAGTATGACTTCACCATACAGTACCAGAAGGGGAGTCACAATGCAAACGCGGACGCCCTATCGCGTATATAGTTACTCAACCGCATATTTAGATACGATTGCATTGAAACTTAGATTTTAGAATATTTTTTTTGCCTACTTTTCTTGTTTTTGTGGCTATGTCACTCCACATGTATTTGGAAATATGTTCTAGTATTGACAAATTTATATTTCATTATGTTTAAGATTAATGTGAGTTTTCACAATTACCATGTTATGTTTTAAATAGCAGGTTATTTTGTATACTGTATGGAACGTCACTTTTTCATGTAAATTACTTTCCATGCTTGCCCTCGATATCATGGTAAAGGCCAAATTTCCGTCCACAGATCTCCAGTTAAGAGGACCTATACTATATTATAAATACATACCAGTCCTGAACTGTGGATACATATCATGAGATGATGTGATTGTCAACAAACTTCGATACAAGAAGGTTAATTCCACCACCTTTTCCTTGCTTTCGTTTTTTTTTTCATTACTGCATTTGTACTGACGAAATATTTACTGGCAAAATGAACAATGCTACAGTATTTGGTAAACTCGTAGGAAGGAGACAGATGACTGGAAGCATTAAGTAATGAATATTTGTTACATATTGAAAGAACATCGGTTTTGGATTATGAATTTTGGAATACACCACAAGGAACGCAGGGATTGGGTAATTACCCAGGCAACAAGTGGAGCGAAAGGCAGGTGTACCAAACAGTTCCGGTATCAAGACGTAACAGGAAACGGTGCGATGTAAGGCACTTATGGGCGAATACCAGTAAACAACACTATCCAGTGTTAATAACGGCGGAGTACAGCAATAAAGAATAATTAACATTATTGTTTTTACGGTGGCTGTTTAGCATCGACATGTCAACCAGACGAACAAGTGCTATGGATAATGAACTACAACAAACTCTTTTTAACAATATTTTCGATTTACGTTCGAAACGCGGACAATGAACAACCACTAAATCTTTTCAACTTTATTTTTAATTTACTTTTGATTAACTGTGTGGACAATGAACTGAAACATACTTTTTCATTTACTATGACTTTGATTTTTCTGAACAGTATAGATTATGACTAGAAAATGAGCATGAAGTAAGTATGTACGTATATATATTGGAGGTACCTTGAGCACGGACCTCGCCGAAAGATACGATCATTCACTTTAAAGAAAGGGGGATATGTGACGTAGCATGGGATTTATCTCATGGTTCAGTAGGGGTTATTCATGAATTTGCTATTTCTAATCATTGGCCAGGCATACAGGTCAATGACATTGCTCTATTTGATATATTATCATTCCATTGATTTGATGACCAGGACCAGTTAATGAATGAGAAGAAATTGTAAGGGAACCGAAAGGATGTGGTTAAATAGGAATGTAGATCTAATGCTGGGAATTTTCTTTATTAGTATGCTTTGAGAAGAGGGAAGGCAGTTATCACTTGGACACCTAAGTGCGAATAACTCCAACCAAGTGGGACTTAGGTTGTAATCATATGTGTTCACAGAAATAACAGCCAAGTGGGACTTGGGCTTTGCTTTACGTTATATGAATTTTACTACATTTTTGAAGATTAAATAGCATAGAACATTACGCTACCGTGTATGTATATATCATTCTGTTTGCTTCCGGACCGGACTATTGGACTTCGTCACAGTAGGTTACTAAGGCAGAGGTCTACAACTCGCCATCGGTAGACCACATAAATCATAGGCCTAATGTAAGCTGTTTTGTATTATGAACTTAAAGAAACTTATGAATAATAGTACGAAAAAAATGTAATTAAAAGAAGATTTCCAGAACGGAAAATGCAGTAGATTTTAACAGAATCAACAAAAACTGGACGAGGAACCGGAAATGAAAACGGCGCCTGAACTGGAACCTGAATAGGTGTGAAAGGCGCTTAATACTATAGTATATTTTTGTAAGGGCTGCACAGTGGTAAAAAATACTACCTAACGAAGACGACCAGTCAAATAGAAAACTGGCAAATACTCGACAAAACAAAATGGCTGCATAGTTACCGCGATACACGCTGCTTAATCAAGACTGCTTCGGCTTGTTATGGCAGTATGGGTTTTTCGTAAAAAATGTTTTCCATCCAGTTTTTTAATTTTCTGAAATTTAATCTAAATTATATTAACGCAAGTGTTGTTTCTAAACTGACCAATCGGCCATGTTTGTTTTGGTCACGTTGATAACTTAGCGCTGATTAATGCATTGTGGTAATTACGTTAATTACCACAATAAGTATATTTACGAACCAGTCAAATGAAAATAATAATCAACGAAAAATTGTAGTCAATGAAGTAAACCAGTCAAATAAGCCTAATATTGCTTTGCGCTGATTGGCTGTTCTGTATCTGGCGCTGCTTCAGAAGAAACAACTTCAGGAAAAAAAAAGGAAAAAACTTTGTGTCGCGCGCTCGCGGTGCAGTGCAGCTGGTTAATTTAAGATTCCAAAAAAAAAAAATAGAGGGAGCAGGCTGTATTTACCGAAGAAGAGGCGGCCATCGTGAATGGTACTGTGACAATCCTTTTTAGTATAACAAACGATACAGAGACTTCAAAAATGCAAAAAGCGCTGGCCACTGATGGATTTTTGACAAAATTAATGTAAAAATAATCATGACATTAGTGTAAAATATTTTTGTATTGTCTATAAATAATTTGTCTTGAAGTTTCAGACATACTTATCCGACTGAAGAAGGGATTAACAACAAAAGTAACTATTTTTGTAACCAACCCCCCCTGATCGTAACATCAACTTAGGAAATTCCATACCGTATATCTGGGCAGTCTCACCTGGGACAATCCGATAAACAGCAACAGTCTCATCTGCTACTCAAGGAAAATTCAAGGATGAGACATAGATACCTGGAATCGACCTAGGTCAGCTGAACACCAAACAGAAAAGGATAGCCCAACAGATGCTACAGAAGTAGTCAAATGATTTCTCTTGTGGCGACAAAGATATTGGATGTGTTGACAACTTACATATGGAAATCAATCTTAGAGACGGAAAACCTGTGCAAAAACATACGTCTGTACCAAGGCCTTTATACCAGGAAGTCAAAACATACATCCAAGATCTGATGAAAAGAGGATGGATATTACAAAATCAAAGTCTTCATTTTCTTCTCCTGTAGTATGCATCAGAAAAAAAAAATGGATCCCTCCCCTTGTGCATAGACTACCGGGAACTGAACAAGAAAACGGTTCCAGACAGGCAACCCATTCCCAGGGTTCAAGATGTTCTAGGTGGTCTTCGTGGCAAAGCATACCACCAAGGCTTCATGCACTCAATAGCCGTCACTGCATTTGTGACGCCGTGGGGGCTATATGAATGGATTCGCATACCTTTTGGCACAGGCGGCGTTCCAACAATGTATGGAAAATTCCTTTGAAGGAATGACAGGCAACTCTAGCAACAAGAATGGTGAACAGAACACTAAGAAGAAGATGGGTCAGATGAGTTCTAAACAGCAAATTATTTGGAAAATGGAACATCAACAATATTTGGACGAACTCATTAACAAATTACTTCAGCCACCGTACCCTGACTTCAATTTGCCTTATGTAGTACACACTGATGCCTCGCAAGAGGGTTTTGGTGCGGTGTTATACCAACATCAAGGAGGCAAACTACGAGTCATCGCTTATGGTTCTAGGTCACTATCACCAGCAGAAAGGAGTTACCAACTCCATTCTGGAAAGTTGAAGTTTCTGGCGTTGAAGTGGGCAGTCACCGATAAATTCCAGGACTACAGTATCTGTACCATGCTATTAACAACTTTACAGTATACAAATACAGGCCTGGAAAAGTCAATGAAAGCCAAATGACTCTCAAGAATGCTCTTACCAATGAAGGAATACATCTCTTCAGGCAATGATATCAGGTGTAGGAATACAGGAGGCATGTTTACACTGTATGGGTGAATCTGATCATCTGGTTGTTGCTGATGTACCCATGGAGGTATAATACCTCCATGATGTACCAAATATATCCTGCTAAATGCTCAGAGAAATGACAATGACATCTGTCGCATTATTAACTACAAAACTAAACAACGTCCACCAAACAGAGAAGAAAGGAATGGTGAAACTCCAGAAACAAGAAAACTTATGCGTGAATGGAAAAAGTTTGAACTTAAAGGTTGGGGGGGGGGTGTGTGGGGATGAGACAAGTGCCCTTATATTGCTTATTTAACCTTTCCTGAGTTTGGGTGGCCTGTAGCCACCCTAGGCCTTTTTCCACCCGGCCCTTTGCTACCCGGCCCTTTGCCACCCGGCCCTTTGCCACCCTATTGAACGTTGCCACCCCTGGGAATGTTGAATATTTATATTATCTTGGTGGGTTTTTTTTACACTGATTTGTACACTATAGCATTTCACGATAATTAGAAACAATTTTAGTGAAATAATAGGTTTTAAAAAGTGGACTTTTTGAAATTTGGTGGTCCAGGGGCAGAGGCCTGGAGGGGGTTTGTGACAAAAGCGACAAAGCAGCAAACACATAATTCATTAATATTTCATTTAAATTTTCATTAATTTGGGTGTTTTTGGGAAAAAGTAACGTTATTATGTTCTGTACATCTGCAGGCCTAAGTCTGAATAACAGAATAATAATAATATGTATAACTCATTATTTGAACTTGCCACCATATCGATTTTATTATATTTTGTATAGCAAGGATTGCCATTGAACACGACAGAGTTTTGGAAGAAATGGAGGTAGCTAGAGGAAGAAAAGGAAAATGAGAAGGAAGAAAATGCGACTAAAGGGATGACAAAGCAGGAGATAAAAGAAATTTTTAAGGAAGCAATGAACGAAACCATCTCGGAGTTGAAGGTAAAAGAATATGGATTTGTGAAGCATGTAATCTTCTATTATTTATTTTCAGTTTTAAAAATATGTCACTAACTCCGAAAAGGCTCAAGAGGGACTTATTGATTGAATTTTTATTGCAAAATTCCAAATACGTACAAAATATGAATTTAGCAGTGTAATCCGTCAGTTGCATTTAAATTGTATTTTCTTGCCTAATTAGTCCAATATAGACCTGAAGTTTCGGGAGCTGATTAGTTCGATGGATGTGGTGGTACCGGCACCCCAACAGCAACAACTAGCAGCACAATGCTTAGCACAATTGACAACAATACTGTAAGTGCCCTGTTACGAAACAGTACTTCATTATTAATTTTAATTGTGTTGATTAATGATTTTCGTTTCTTAGGAACAATACTAAATATTAATGTTGTCATTCTATTGTATCAATTTAGTTTGCTATTTGTTACGTAAAATACAATAATAAAAGTAATGTGCCTAATAATATCAATAATATTTAGTAATAATGATAAATATTAATATTAATACTACTACTAATAATAATAAAAATTATTATTATTATAAATTGGGCTTATTTATTTGGTATTATTGGGTTTATTTATTTGGGTATCCCTAACAAAGGACTTATCGAAGTTGTTGATGGCATTGTTTATTTTGAAGAGATAAGGCTGGCTAATAAAAAATTATAAAGGGTCTTTAATGAAATCTTAAATCTTGAATTTTATTGACAATGATTACGTTGCATTATAACACGTGAGTTCCTCTTGTAGATATCGTATGAGCTTCCAGGAATTGTGAAGAGGAGGGCGGACAGAATCGAGAGCGTGAACAAGTGTATCCGGTTTTTAGGGAATGTCCTTTTCTCTAAGGAGGAATTCCTAAACTCAACAATTTCCGGTACAAATGCACAAGGCGAAATAGTGAATAAATTAGACGAAAAGAAACTTGAAGCAACTGAAGGTACAAAATTGTTTAATTTATATTATTGGGCCACGTATAAATTGTCGATCTTGCAGACCGTTTGTTTTTTTCAACCTCAAGTTTCGTATGTATGGTTACAATGGTACAAAGTACACAATCTTGTGTTCACATTCAGACAAAAGCAACAATTCCAATAGCGTTTTCTATGGTTTCTGCACCCCGCTTTTGTGTAAGTTTTGCTAATTACGTAATCAAATAACTGTGCCATTGTTATTGTCACAATCTGAGAGTCTTTGATCATGTACAAAATTTTGAGGCATCCAATATACTATACGTGAAAATAAAGAAGTTGCATAATTAAATTTTTCATTCCTGATGATGAGATAATGTACGTCGAAACATTACGAAGATTTTGAATACATATAAGAATTATATTAGAAAATATCGAACTTATTACACTGAATAATAATCGTTATTTTCTTATAGACTACATTGCAAGAAGGTTTACGCAATTTGGTGGGGTAGCCAAGATTCGAGAAATTGTTGGGAAGCGATGCAGGGAGATTCAGCGCCTAGCTAGGGAAAAGTAACTTAGTAAAATAAGTATAATATAGTATCTAAATTAAATAAAAATAATATAAAGTATAACCATATATATAGTCTGTTACTGTAATTCCTGGCCCCGAAACCTAGACTCAGAAATACCGGGTTGGTGTCCGGCGGGGGATAGTTTTCACCATAGTTTAAGATTTACTTTAAATACAGTTATATTAAATAAATATTCGTTGTAAGTTACACAACGCTAGTCATTTGTCTTTCTTTTGTCTCAACTAACCAACAAAATATTAATGATAATAACTATTACTGGTGATGATAATGACGGTGATGATGATCATGCTAAGGAGCTATATAAATACAGTTTTATTATTATTATGATTATTAAATAAATATTTATTATAAGTTGAAGACCTTTGTCTTTCTTTTGTCTCAACTAACCAATAACCATGATGATGATAATAATAACGGCGGTGATGGTGGTGACCATGATGATAATTAACTATGGTGTTAGAGCTCTCATAAGTTGCACAACGTTTGACCTTTGCCTTGTCTTAACTAACCATATACAAAATACACCCTACATTGGTATCATCTTGTTTTTAGTAAAACATTGTGACCAGGGAGATGTAAAAAATTGACCGATTGAATATAAAGTCCCAATAGAGACTCAACAAAGAATTCCCTTTAAAACAACAAAACATTTATGATGATGATCATCATAAATAACACACTTAGTATACCGTGAATTCCCACTTGTTATTTAAAGAAGCGATTGCTATTCACCGGCGCATACTGGAAGTAACAACATGAATTCAGTCCTTTGACGATCATTCCGACCGCACTGATAAGAATCAGTGGTCACAGCGTCGTATAGTGGGTATCAAAAAAGCGACATTGGGTAATAGGATAAGCAATAGTAATATTTAATATCTCTAAGACCTGTGTAAGCACTCTATACTGTGGCCTTAGCTTCTAGCGAGAGAATTACAATTGTTTATTAATTTTGACAACACCCTGTGACCCTTGCTGCTTATCATTATCTCTTATGGTCCATTTTTTTTCATATTTGCATATCCCTAGCATTTGTGTTACTTATTACTCTGCTCATGTTTGTAAAAATAATGTTATTTCTAATGATGACATAATAAAGTCGAAACGTTGAGTAAATATGGCCTCACTTTTGTTTTATTTAGTGCTCAATTGGTAAATAAATGTAGCAATACCATGGAGGAAATGCATCTATAAATAATCGCCTTCAATAAAATAATAAACATTAACAAACAACCCGTTCAGAACCATCATATTTTTTTGTTTCATGGAATTGTTAGTTTAAAAAGGACGACCCCAGTCGCATATTTTTAACATATGGCCTATGTAAAGCAGTTCTGGTACATCCTGAATCATGAAGGTATTATAGCCCCATGCTCGAATTGGCGGCATACAACGAATGGAATGACACATTACGATCAGGAGTCAGCCAAAGTGAGGCCACGTGATGCCATGTAGCTAGCCACCTCCCTAAGCAACCTAAACAACACAATCAGCGTCCAACTCGTCCTAAACAACGAAATTCAATCTACTTGAATCGTGGTCGTGTGTAGTACTTGTACATTTTTATTTCGGGCAAACAACGAACAATGCTAAAACGCGATATAAAAAAATAGGCCTGTATAGAAAATAAAGATTATAACAGCATATACTACAGCCCGGAAGACAAAATGACTAAAATTAATAATTATTAGCGAATGTCGTTCCAACTGTATAGCCAGACCCTACAAAAAATATAACAACTTAATACTACATATAAAACTCAAACATCAAGTTATAATGATGACAACATTTAACATGAATTATACAAATAAAAATAATATAATATTACCAAGGATATTATATCTAGGAGGTGTGACTTCGACGTCAAATTACCGATTGTCCGACCTCGAATTGCCCACTGTTCGACGTCGAATTGCCCACTGTTCGACGTCGAATTGCCCACTGTTCGACAAATTACAGTATATTATACCGTATAAGATAAAAATAAAATAAATACTGTAATCAAGGATGTAAATGCAACATCAGGTTATAACAACATTAAGAATCAAATGATATATGTCTAAACAATTATATTTTGGAGTTGTGACCTCTTAATTGCTGTCCGACGTCGAAATTCCCACTGTTCAGCGTCGAATTGTCCACTGTTCGGCGTCGTTGAGAAACAACTTTCTAGTAGTACTATCTAGTAGAAAGGCCACTTCGAGTTAGTCTTGTGTTCAAAATAATATACAATTAAAATATTGGATTTTTAAAAGTCAGTATTGTTTAAAATCCGTATATGGGTCACTCCACCAGGTTGGGACACATTGCAAATCCAGCATATTAGCTGAATATGGAAGGATTTTTGTCATGTTAAATTATTATTCTTACAGTTTCAATTCCTTGTATTTGAAGTAGAACAATCAAGGTTTCAAATAAGACCAAACACGACCCATTTGTAAGTCGGGTTTGAATTCTAGAGCTAAAAGTTTGGTGGTGTCAATGACAATTTTTGCAGTAAAAAGTGTGACATGGAATACAATAAATATGAAGTTGTGATGTTCATTTTATCAAGAAGGAAAATTTGCTTATTCATAGGTAATTTGATGGTTAAACATATCGACATTATTAAATAAAAACATTTTTTCACCACCACAAAACCACAAAAAAAGATCACTATACCAGACACAACCATCGTCGACGTAACCATGGTGTCAAGAAAGATACGTCGTAAATAGGTGTACTACTCATAGAAAATAAAGTTAAAATGAAATTTTGTGTTTGTGTTTATGTTTTTTAGTTTATCTATAAGCCTAACGGCTTATGTATTTTAAAACATATTTCACAAAATAAAATATTATAATAAAAAATGCGTCGCAAAACGCACATGGTGTAAATGTTACGTCCATTACGTCGATGCACATGCGCATTAACAAAAATCGAATACGCCACATAGAGAATGGAACATTCTAGAAACTAGTTTTGTTTTTCAACAGTAAACAAAGTCAGACGACGACAAACTCCCGACATTGTTTCACGAAGCTACGGCGGAGTGGTATAGTGTGGTGTCAAGAACCACTCACCTTTACGTCGAGTTGTCAAATCACACGATAAGTTATCGATAGTTCATAAATATTTATTGTTTTTATGCGTATTTTAAGTATAACGATAGAATAACATTTTCAAAATATTTGCCGCATGATATGGTGCTCCGTACGAGCAGAAAGCGTTGTGTAGTCC